CTAAAATTGCAGTTGTTTACATTTATCATTAGTTAAAATAAAGACAATGCATTTTGCACTAAAAGAACATACTTTTTTAAAAAAATCAAAAAAATCCGATTTAAATAAAAAAAATCGATTTTTTAAATTTTTATTTAAAAAATCAAAAAAATCACCAACCCTGTCCCCAAACATCAAACATGTACTCACATCTGAGCTCTCCGCCTAAATTTACATCACTTGCTGGGTGGGTATGGCCTCACAAGTTCGTTCCAGGCGGGATCACTTTGAACTGTGAACTACCACTGCAACAGTTTTCTCTACTCTCGAATTTGCGAGACAGACTGCATTAATGAAACTGGCATGCGTCATGCCACTGTGATTGGTCATCAAGGTTGACCACTCTTTGCACGCCATGAATCATAAACCCTCCCAGGTCACGTCAGTTTATTTTAGAGTGAAAGGAAACCATTTTACCGGTTGTGGGCCTTAACTTGGGTAACCGTAGATTTTTTCCTTGGTGTGTCGGCTAAGATCCCGCCTTTTCCTTGCTCCCGAGCACCAGATCTTAGATGGTGACCACTGCATTGTTTTTGTTTGAAAAAAGTTTGGTGTCCCTTACTCTATTTATAATGTATAATTAGTCGAATTGTTTTTAGAATGAAAGAAATATAAAGTTGTCTTTAAGATTAATTTACCACAAAGGAGCAGAACTTCAATTTATAAACTGAAACAGAGGGGAAAAAGTGTTTTTATTGCAGAGGAGTCTAGTTGTTCTGGGCTTGATGATTTTATGAGTACTTTGATGTGTCTACAGAGTTTTTCCAAAATATGCATATTTGACTTTTGTCTTTAGCAAGGCTCTTATTCCAAAATATCAGACTCAGACTATCACAGTATTTCATTTTGAAAGTAAGTTACTTTATTTGACCAAAGTGATTAGAATAAAGAAAAAAAAAGAAAGAAAAAATGTGTGTAATGTGGATGCTTGAGAGTTTATTCGTCTTGTGTGTTTCCATCTGTTTGGCTGTGGGCTCATACTCATAGATTATTTTTTAAAACTATTATTTTTTTTAACTTAAATAATTCAAGACGGATTTAAGATTTCTGTGCAGCTCCAGTAAGTTTAGCAACTTACTCCTTACTCCCTTGATCTCCTTTCTTATGTTACTTATTAAACTAAGAACAGTAACATTTTGGTCCTGTAGATTTGAACGATGATGCTGTGTCATGGGTCTAAAAAAAAAAAAAGAATTATGATACCTAAGTTAATATTTGTTTTTGTCTCTTGTATTTTTCAGATTTATAAAGAAAGTTTGTGAAGCCCTTGCGGATGCATCATGTACCTTTTAGCAGCATTATGTCATCTCATGAATTCAAGTTGTGGTGGTGGCTCTCGAGGCTTAGAATTAGAGTGTTGCAATTAAGCACTCTCAGTTGTATCAATGAATTGCACATTTTTCATCAATCCTAAATGTTGCCACTCTGGTACATCAGGTGTTTGGTAGAGGATGTCAGAAGAAGGACCAGCGGCCAGCACGTTAACCTTGTTACAAATTAAGTTGGAGCCCGAGTGGAACTCGGCCTTGGAAGACGTTAACATGGGGGCTTCTTCCCATCTCAATACCCCTGCTGTTGAAAACAATAGTAATTTGCAAGCTGTTGAAGAATCTTCTTCTCAAGGTTCTATATCCCAGAATTGCGAGGAAGGAATGGCGGATATGTCGAGTGATGATGAGAGAATTATAAAACTGGAGCCACCTGACTCTGACGATGAAGAGAGCACAGATGAGCTACTGAAGACAACTGTGGAAGCCACTTCTGCCATTGAACGGAAGAGCAATGGTGATTTCATACGCATAATAGGAGATCGAAAGTCTTGTGCCAAGCAAATCGAATGTGATGAGTGTGGGAAGATGCTGTCAGGAAGAGATAGCTACAGGCAGCATAAAGCTATTCATAAAGGGGAAAGGCCATACGGTTGTGGTGTCTGTTCTAAAACATTTATCACTAAAAAGCAAATTACTAAGCACATGCGGACTCACAGTGGAGAGAGACCGTATACCTGTACTGAGTGTGGCTACAGCTTTTCTGATCGTAGTTGTTGTGTTCGTCACATGCGACGTGCTCACTGCCGAGAGGCTGGGAAATTTCTTTGTAGTCAGTGCTTGAAAATTTTTCACTCAGAGCAAGAAATCATCAAGCATAGAGCTGAACATGAATTTCAGAAGAGAAACAAACGATTTGACTGTCAGTATTGTACAAAATATTTTAAGCAACGCTCCCAGCTTATGGCTCATGAGAAAATCCACACCCAGGTGAAAGAATTTAATTGCTCTGTGTGCTTTAAGGCTTTCCTTACCAAAGATAGATTAGTGAAACACTCGAGGACTCACTTGTTAGACAAGCCATTCCAGTGTGGAGAGTGCAGCAAAGGTTTTTCCACCAAGCGGGGGTTGTTGGATCACATGGCCCATCACTCTGGTGAGAAACCTTTCTCCTGCACTGTGTGTAACCGAGGATTTATCAGAAAAAGCCATTTAGAGAATCATATGTCCGTTCACTCGGAGACAAAACCTTTCAAGTGTGACCGTTGCTTTAAATGTTTCGCCCAGCAGACCTACCTTATAACTCACTCAAAGGTTCATGAGTCTTGTAAGCATTTTCATTGCTCGATGTGTAGCAAGCGTTTTCGAACCAACAGTGCTCTCAAGCTTCACCAGACAATGCACAATGAGACGTGGGAGTACTCGTGTGATGACTGCGGCCGAAAGTTTGCCAACTTAAAGTACCTAAACCGCCATCGGGTGCGGCATGATGAGTCCAAGGGCTACAAATGTTTGGACTGTGGTAAGACCAAGTGGTCAAAGGCTGAGCTGATGGAACACATGCGTGCACACACAGGAGAACGTCCGTTTCAGTGTCCGGTGTGTGGCAATTGTTTTGCATATGCCTGGAGTCGAAAGATGCACATCAAGAAGTTTCATTCAGATGTTAAGACTGAGCCTAAAGAAGAAATCTAACTAAGCCATACAAAAGTTATAATCTACGTACTGTATTTCATGTTTATTTCACCACTGCCCAAGTCATTTTTGGAAAAAATGGAACTAGAAGGTCCACTATATATTCTTGGTTCTTATTTTTACCTGTGGATAGTTCAAAAAGCTTTACTTTTGCCTTTGACTTTGAGTTTGATAATCACAGGAGAAAAATTAAAGTAGAAGGTGTTGACAAAAAGTAGACCAGTTTACTCACCAAATAACAAAGTGACTTGGGGCAAGTGTGGGAAGAACATGACTTTAATATGCCTTTGTTTAGACTTATAACTGAAAACTCATTACATGCCTTATGATATTTATTGAACTGCCATGTGTTTTTGCCAGAGCTGACATATTATATGTGATAGAGAATGTTCTATAGAAAGCAGCTGCTGTGAAGTGTGGAGGGGGAGATATGGTGCCCTATGTTCAGGTTCATCCAAAAAATTTTAAGCACGATACAGAGTGTCAGTCAAGTGCCATGCTTCAGTCTTTAGCCAGTTCAAGGAAGCAAGTGTTTAACTTGAGATTGCAATGGTTAATTTGTTTAGATCCAGGGTTTAGTTGTGTCTTGTTGGTGTATCGTTGTTTAAAAAAATATTGTTTTCATTAAATTTGTTGTGAGAAATCAGCTGTATTAAAATTAAACAGCTCATAAGTTTGTACGGTCTAGCATGCAAATAACGAAATATGAAAATGATATCAAACAGAATTTTAGGTCCAAAATTTTGTTTTATACATGTACTTGTATTTTTTTGTATTTGAATCACCTACATATAGCAAAATTCGTACACAATGAAAAGATTTCTGTGTCCCATAAATTTCACTGTATGTGCATGTTAGACTCTAATTTTACTGTTCATCGTAAGCGTGATATCTTTACGGAAATTTGTGAAAGCTGTTGCATTGTAAGGGCTATTTGTTATACAGTTCAGCAGGTTGTAGATATTATAACCATGTTACCAAAGATACTAGTCATTGTTATTTTAATTATTTGGTTTATATTCTTTCACATGAGGCCTATTTGTTACATTTGTTTGACTGAATTCATGACTGTTTCTCTATTTCAGTTGATTTTGTTTATTTTTTATAGATTTTAAACAGCATTTTATTCTTTTTCACTGTGCTGTTGCAACCTACAATCAATCCAATGGCATTTGTATCCAGGTTGACAAAAATAGAAAATGAAGTTGATAATTTAATATCATGTAGTGCGTGACTGATTAGTTTCCTATCTGTTCCATTACTGTCTGACTTAACGAGTTACAACCCTTCTTTCATGCTGCATGATGTGTCCTTGATATGGGGCAAAAATCTACTTTCTGTCCAAATAATGACTTTCAAGCTGTTGTTTTTTTAATAATTTCAGTAATATTAATGGACTGCAAATCATATTTATATAGTAATATAGTCATACAATATAATATATATATATAAAGTTCCAAGCCTGGCTTTTATTTTTAAAATGTCAGACTTTAGGCATGTTAAGATGACAAGATATTATACTTAACTGAAGAGTAAAGGGCATAATATTATTTTTGTCTGTAATGTAATGCATTTCGTGGTGTTAATTTTTCAGTATTCGCAAGGTTGTTTTTTGTTGTTTTGTTTAGCATAATTATGTTGATAGTTGATGGGACCTCTAGTTTCTGTGCAAACTGTTCTAGATTTCTTGGTTAAGTTGTTTGCTTTTAGTTTTGTTATTGGTGGTAAACTGTAAATCATTCATCTTGAGAAGCTTATATTCTGACAATAAGTAAACGTATCCAAAATTGAGTTTGTCAATTTTTCAGCACTTGTCTTTAATTTTTTGAATGCTTAATTTTTAGAGTTATTATGTATTTTTCTCTTGTGTATAATTTTTCTGCACTATGTCATAAACAAGCAAATAGATCTAGACATGGGGATATGTTAGGTCAAAGATAGCAGATGTGATATGAAAACTGTCCACTTCAGTTTGGCTTACTATTTCAGACTAAGCATAGTATGTGAGGCAACGTGGTGAAATCTGGTTCTCGTCAAAATTATGCACCTGGCGACCCCCACCTCCTTCAGTTGCAAATATCTCGACTTCTGTTCAAGAAAGATGGGTATCTTTTTCATCAAAAGCAAGACACATGAACAAGCTAAGATGATACCAGTAACTCCACATGCCCAAAAATTGACGAGTGCCTGATTTCACCACGTCGTAACAACATATATGTTGTTGTTCCCTGATGGCACAATATTTTTGTAGATATTAATGTCTGCTCTTTCAAAAATATTAGAAAATCTAGTAAAGTGATCATTATATCTGTAACTTTTTTTTTTTTTTTGACAAATCTGATTGTGATATAATATGTGTATGTGTATCTCGAAAATAATTTAAAATGAAACATATCTGGTGACAGTTGAATGATCTGACTATGATTATTTTTATGTCTGTATGTATAATTTAATATTAATTACGATAAAAATGAAAAGAAATCTCGTGTCTTTCTATGGTTTGATTTCTGAATTATTTAAATTTTGTTTTTAAGTTCAGGACTTTTGTTATTACTGTGATGGTGAGTGATAAAAAGGAAAGCAAACTGATTCTTGCTTTAAGGGCATGATCTTGAACACTGACATTGGCCGTTATTCTGCTCCACTCATTTCTGTTACTATTTTTTGCTGGGGGATTTGCTTTTTTATGAACCCCTCCCACTCCCATTTTGTGAAAGAAATTTCAAAGATTAGGGTTGGAAAGACTCTGCTTTTAGGGTGGAAACAACTGTCTCATCTGTCCAATTTCTCCCAAGTGAGGATAAAACAGCTTTCTCCACTTTTTATTTTCCTTTGAATTTTACATTTTCTTTCAAATTCGTAAAGTAGTGTGTAGTATTAAAGGGGGGGGGGGGTGTGCAAGCATCTCGTGGCGTCGGTGGCCTAGTGGTTAGGCTCTCGGACTCGCAACCGTAAGGTCGTGGGTTCGAATCCCGTCAGGGGCCCGACGTTGTGTCCTTGGGAAAGGCACTTTACACTTATTTTCCTCACTTCACCCAGGTGGGAATGGGTACCTGGCTATAGACAGCGAAAGATCTTGTCAGTTTGTTAGTGTTTGAACGCTTAATCAGCTGCTCGCACTGTATGCTTCCCGGGAAGCTGAGAATGTTTCTGAGTGTTCTATGGTCTGCTGGGGTAATAATATAGTGTAAAGCGCATAGAGCCTGCTGTTGAGCGGGGATATGCGCTATACAAATGCTATCTATTATTATTATCTCTTACTAATACTAATACATGTTTTCAAGTAGATATCAAAATAATATCCAGTTCTGATTTGAAAACGTATGATAAGGATTTGCATATTTGAGATTGTTTTCATAACGGTTCTTTCAAGGTCCATTTTCTTTGAAGACACACTGTTATCTTGTGTTTCTCGAAAAGTTGTGAAATTTGTAAAAATTATGCAGTAGTTGCAGCCTTTCGGAATTAGGGGACTAGTTAAGTGCATATATATGTAACTTCAGGTGGAGATGACTAGTGAGAGATATTTCACTCGTCAGCTGGCCCCTATTCGCACCTTGTTATTCGCGCAAGATAGGTAACCCAGTGCCTCGAAACTGTTTCATGCCGTACATTTCATCGTCTTTTTCTCTTGAAATCACTTCCCCTTATTATTTCCTATAGTTAACACTGGGGACAGAGGGAGGAGTCATCTCAGTTAATACGTCGGAAGTAGTGGATGTGGGGAAGTTGATCAATTAATGCGTGCATAATTAATCAATTCATCAAATTTATGCTCCAGGGAAGGAAGAAGAAGAAGAGGAAAAAGAACAAGAACAAAAACAGAACTAGAGGAAGAAGAAAGTAGAAGAATAGAAAAGATTTGGTGTATTACGCGCACTTATGCAATGAGATGCGGGCCAGGAATAAGGAGAGGGGACGTGACCAACAGACAAGCCAATAATTATAATTACTGTATACTGACCGAGAGGAAACATACAGTATTGACTGAAACTTTGACAGTAGTAATATAACATTAATATGTTAATTTGATTTTAACGCAATAAGAGAGGACTTGGTTTTACTTTTCTTTATACATATATATGCGAAGGTTGAAGCTTTCCTTCTCGCAGCCAATTTGTAGCCACCAGAGTCAGCGTCTCGGTTGAGGCACCTCAAAAAATGATGAAGTCTGATGGTAGTGAAGAGGTTAATGGACAGGAGCTTCAGTGGGCACTTCCTGTTTCTCCGGCAGTCAAGAGATATGTTCAGGGTGGCCTCAATTTCAATCCTCTTCTTGACTGGTCTGAACCTCACGTCCGTGGCAGCGCGCAGAGAGTTGAAGCTATCTTTAAAGACGATTTCCGCGCTTTGCAGGCAACGTTGAAGTACAATAGATGGTATCGTGAGTCCACCATCATTTATGTAGGGATACTTCTTTGCCGAGATGAAAAAGGAATCTGGCTCTTGCCTTTCCTGTGTGATGTCACTCTTACACATGTCACATACAATTTTAGAAAGTTTTTTAGCCACGTAACTGGAAATGTATGCTATTATGTCCTTTTCTGGGGCTCTTTGCACAGAAGAGCTTGCACAACTCTGCAATATCAGCCTGATGGTCTGAAGAAGATCATGGAGGCGGGTCTTGACTGCGTGGGTGGCTCCCTTTGCAGTGATATTTTCCAATTTAAAGAGGAACGTGTCCACATCGGCTTGGCAATTGCTGCCTTGACCAGGAAGAAGGATCGCATTCACCTTAGTCTGGGTGAGAGCTGATCTAAACTCCCTACAATCTGGGTTGACACGATGACCACCCTTCCCCCGAACTACAGAGAACAAGTTCTCTAAACAGTCCTGGTTCATGCGATTGGTCAGGAGGAATTTCATCTGGCAATTGTTTGAGAGATCATTCCAGAGCTCCAAGAGACCTGCAATCGTCAATTTCCACCCCTCAATGCATGGCAGTGATCCAGCCTTGTTGGTGACTTCTATGCTATCTCGAGCCACGCCAATTTATCCTGTAGAAATTCGATGTGTTCAGAAGATGGTGATACAACTTGGGAAAAGGATGCCTTTGCATTAAGGGAAGAACTGTTGAAACAGTTGAAGAATCTGTAGAATTCCTCCGCAAAATGGGCCGTTGCTATCGCTTCGGATGGGAGGTCGCCGTTAAATAAATGCCAACACTCTTTGTGACTTGACGAGAACTTAAATGATCAAGCACAATGAAGACATACGTCAGACGATGCGTGACTGGGACAGAAACAGAACAGAAATAAAGCGGATGAATGTATGATTGACAAATAAGGGAAAAAATAATAATGGACTCAAAGAACAGATACGAATGATGGCACATACATGTAGTCTTGTCGCTACTGAATGATATTCCTCAACGACCCCCCCCTCAAGTCTTTTGAGTAGAACAGAAAAGACTGATGTAATGTCAAGGAATACTGGTGATATAACAAGGAACATAATGAAAGATAGGAACTATGGCAATATCTGCTTGGACGGACCTATGAAAAGAAACTAAGGAAGCAAATGATAGATCAATGAGTGTCAGAATCAGACTTTGATTTAGAGTCAATTGGCTTGGGGCTCTGTCTGGCCAATAGTCCTGCTGATCGCAGAGGGCCGCCTGGAGGCTTATTGGAACATCTTGCTCTTGTTGACCAGGGGCGTTGTGTGGCCTGGAGCGCACATAGAGCATGTGGGGTGGCTTGAGCCTGAGGTTGTAGAACCACCATCTCGACAGCAGGGCGTGGATCAGGTGCTGATTCTTGCCCGGATTCAGGGACAGTAGGCATCGGTGGATCGTGTGCGGGGGGTCCTGAACGCCAGCTGGTTGGAGTAGATCCGGGCAAGGAGAGGGCGGCAAGGTCACGCTGGGCTTGGCATGCTCAGGGGTGTGACTATTCTGAGGCGCTGGCACTGGTGGTGAGGTGCCACTTGGGATCATCGTCAGTGGTCAGCGAGGGACCACAGGCATGTATTTGCGGAGGAACTTTCTGTTGCGAAGGGTGATGCGGCCAGAGTCATCCACTCGAACGAAGTACTGGTCGAATTGACGTACTTCCACCACAATGCCCTTCTTGTCCCATTTGGTCGGGTGGGCTCCAGTTTGGTTCTCACCGACGATGAGTGGAGGTAAGATGTGAAGGTGCTCAGACAGGCGCTCAGCGATGCGCATGTGGCGGTTCCTCAGTGCCTCTTC